CAATAAACCAGTAACATAGTTTATTATCAAGTATTATGTATTCTACATAACTTTATGTGCTAGACTTTTATGCAACTGGTAGTGCAGTAAGTTTGTTTACATGAGCATCAACACAAACCTGTGAGTAATACATTGTACTATGACATTATGAACGATGTCACCAGGTCATCGGAATTTTTCAGCCCTATTATATTCTATGAGACCACCGTCATATATGTGGTCCATCATTGACTGAAATGTCATTAGGTGGCTCACGACTGTATTTTATATATTATGTGTTTGTTTTAGGTAGAAGGATAAATCTAGTCTCTTTTTATACCATCTTGACAGAAGTAAAGCTAAACTTTTTTAGCATGAGAAGCTTTTTTTTCAAATAACTCCACTATCTGACACAGATAAAAAGCAAAGCTTCTGTGATTGAGAGTAAGGGAAGGGATTGCTAGCTTGAGGAGACCTGCCTATGTAGCTGTTTCTTTGACGCACTCAGTAATTCCTAAGGGTTCTCCCCTGATCCTTAGAGATTCACAGGGCCCAATTTGAAAACCACTATATCTAGTCAAATCCCTCCTTTTTGATATTTGATAAAACTGAGAACCAGAGTGGTTATATAACTTGCCCAAGGTCACACAGTTAAAACCTAGATTGTAAGATGAAAGGGAGTAATGACTGCACACAAGTAAAGACCTCAAGAATGGCAGCAATTATTACTAGGTCTGTCCTTGTATTTCAAATTTCTAAAAGTCTGTGATAGTAACAGGAGAAGAGAGAAAAACTGTGTTTCTATAGAAAGGATCTGGCAATAAAGGACTCAGTTACATCTTCCCTTATAAGCCAGGGTCATTTCCTGAGGCCCCATCTCCTGAGGAAGGTCCTCATGTTCCCAACTCAGCTCCCAGGCAAAACTTAAATAAGTGCCTCAGGGCTGAAGACTAGAACCCAGGTTCCTGAATTACAGGCAAGTGTCTAATCCACTGCACCCCATCACCTCCCTTCATTGGTAAAATTCAAAAATCCAGTGAAACATTATTCTTTGCTAACCACAAAATATTGTAAAAAGATTCACCTGGAACTGTGTATTTGCAATTTTGGCAAAATTTCCTGGGAGCACAGAAAGAGGTCTCAATCTCTCACTAAAACAGCACAGATTCCACATTGCCTGGAACTTCGTGTAGTGGAGTGTGGTGTGGTGGTGTTTTGGAAGCAAGCTAGAAAGAAGAGATTGATCAAATAGGAGTCTAGGCTCCCACTGAAAACCACAAAACAGGAAGGACATGGGTGCCAAGAGTGTCTAACTCAGATGCTGACATACTGGATGAGTCTGGATTTGCCACTCAAAGAATCTCAAACTCCTTGATTTAAGTAGTATTCATAGAACTTGTTCCTGCTTGCTTTCTAGAGAATCTGCGAGCTATAACCATATTTAAAAACAATTTGTAAATTACTAAGAGCTCCTTGGAGATAGGATGATATATAAATATATGTATTACTGTTACGTTAACCACACTTAAGTATGGTTAACCATACTTAAGAATGCTAACCATACTTAAATATTTACAATATTACTTTAAGAGAGATTATCTGCAAAATTCTTAGTGTCTTCTCCAATTAATTTTCCAAACTATAGAGAAGTTAATTACCCTGTGATCTTGATATATTTCAATCTACTAGAGTTCAAAATTTGTTATACATTTAGAACTATTTTCATATCAGTGAGAACTGAAAGAATTTCAACATAACATCGCTATTCTTACACCATCACATCACAGCATGTCCTCAGAGGCAACACCAATAAGGAGAATTAAGTATCTTTCCTGAGGATTCAGTCTTGTCATTTTGCCTAATTCTAGAAGAAAAAATTACCAATTAGTTTGATTCATATTTTTGATCCAATAGGTATATATATACACACACATATATGTGTATATATACACACACACACACACACACATTTGCAAGTTCAGCCCTCAAAAGATGGTTCATTTTGCCTAAAGCTACCCTTTCAGATTAGGACAGCAAGATGTCATCCGATGAGTGGTAGCTTCGTGATTTGAACTGCAAGGCTGCTGTGCATGGCTGCAGAGGTAGAAATGAGTCCTTGAAAATTGCGCTGTGTACACCCTGCTCCACAATACATGGTTGCCTTTATTCTACTTTAATACTAGAAGAAAACAATGAATCAGGAAAGGGAATATGGAAATTGAGCACATATGGGAATATAAAGAAGCCAGACAACAGAATGCCTCCAAAATATACGTCTATACAAAAACAAATCTGTTATATATTCTAAATTTGTGTATCTACATACCAAATAGATTACATTTACCTATATAAACATATTACATTTACCCATATTAATAATAAATATTTAACACAAACACATTATATGGGTAAATTTATTGAACCCCTAGTACTAGTCATATAACAGACAATCCATAAATATTTCAAATACATGAATGAAAATATACGTACTCTCATAGCTGCATGCTGTGGCAATTAAATTAAGATGAACTGCTGCTAATTTTCATCAGGTTGAACATGGACTTTTGCTAATTTTCATCCAGTCAGAAATGCCCGGCAGGTTCAGAAGACTCCAGAAGAACCCATAACCTAGAGTCACAAGCATAGGTGTGACCTAAGCGTTTTCTAACCAGGACAAATCAACTGAATTCCCTATGACATGTACCTGAAACTATTTAATTCTAAAAAGTCTGTTCCTGAAACTCAAAGACAATTGTTTTGCTTTGTCCCTATTGTTACAGGTAAGATCACGTTCTAAGAATGGTCATTATGGAATGGAGGAATGAATGATTTGTCTAAGAATCAGAAAGAAGAACTGCTTTTCCCACCCAGCTTTAGAACAAGCTGATGACACTTGGTCCAGTCCCTTCTCTGCAGACCTTAACTGCTTAATCTGTAAACTACATAGTTGGATTTCACAATCCACAAGGTTCCTTCAAGCTATGCAGAAATTTATTTCTTGTATAATAAATAATATTTATTATTTATTTAGATTTGACCCTGACTGTCAAATCAGTAAGGTTAATAAAATTAAAAATTGTGACCAAAAGAAAATATGTTAAAAATAAGTGCTAACATACTTGCCAATTAAATTTTATATTTAGTTCTGAGCAATCAGGGAAAAGTGAGAAATGTAAGTTTCACTATTTTCATTTTTGGAAAGGGAGAAGCTTTCCTTTTTCTTGACGAATGACCTTCTGTGGTACTAATCCGTGCCCTAACTGAGAAGATAAAATGTGACCCCAGCTTCACAGGATCATTCCCAGGCAAGAAACCCCTGCTCATACTTCTAGGTAAAGACTAAACATTCAGATGGCGCCATTTTTCGTAGGTAGTGTAATGTCATCATGAGGTCACTGGGTACCACACAACTGAGGAAATCAGAACCCAGAGACATTAAGTAATATTTCAGAGGCCACCCAGGTAGCCATGAACGGCAGAGAGATTAAATACTCAAGAGTTCCTGACCTGGAGGTCAGCGCGTGGTTTTAGGTAACACGCCCCGGGACAGACGCGGCCCTCTGTGCATGTGCGCAGAGCTGAGTGTCCTTGGAATGTGACACGAGCTGCACAAAGCGCAAAAGAAGCTGAAAAGCAGCGATGCCCTGGGGTCTTCTGGGGCATGTGGGTGTTCCTTTCACTCCGCCCCATTCCTTTCACCACAGCTCAGTTTGAACTTGATGAATTAAGTGTGAAGTTTCCTTCCACTTCAGCGTGGAGCGCTCTTCCAGGCTGGGCGCCCGCGGTCCGGAAACATCAGCGCGTCTACAAGATGGCGCTGGGTGTGTGGAAGAGTCGCACTGGAGACGTTGAGCTAAGAAACCACAGCAGGTTAAGGACTGGGAAAACATCTGGCTCCAATGGAGACAGCGATGGCCTCCCACGAGCCCAGACACAACACAGGGCTGTCAGTTCCCCCTCTGAAGGCATTCTATCGCCCCCAGGAGGAGCCTTCAGGGACTGAGGTCACCAAAACACATATTAAGAATACATTTTGACAGCAATTTGTAGGAACAGGTCCCTCATTTCCTGGTCTGAGGAGAGTCTTGAGGCTCTTTGCTGCAAGAATGAATTCGGGGGCCCTTCCTCTGATGTCCTGAGGGGGAGTGTTGGGGGAGTCTGAGAAAGGTGATGGAACACAGGTTCCAGAGAAAATCTGAGAATAGTACACCACCCAGAAGAGCGATTTTTGTTTTAAAAACACAAAATAACTTGCCAATCAGTGCTTCCTACTCCCACCCAAGTCTTTTCCCCATTCACCAGCATGAACAAGACTTCCAATAAGCATCCAAAAATCATCACTTTACTTTTGCAATATCTGCACAGGGTTTTAGAAATGAAAGAATCCTGAGCTGGGCATGGGTGGCTCACGTCTGTAACCCCAACTACTCCAAAGCTGAGGCAGGAGTATCGCCTGAACCCGACAGTTCAAGACTAGCCTGGGCAACATAGCAAGACCCTCCCCCGTTTCAAAAAAGCAAAGAAATCTTAAGAACCATTTATGCACTTTGGGAGCCCAAGGCTGGCAGATCACTTGAGGTCAGGAATTCCAGACCAGCCTGGCCAATTTGATGAAACAGGGTCTCTACTAAAAATATAAAAATTAGCCAGATATGGTGGTGTGTGCCCGTAATCCCAGCTACTTGGGAGGCTGAGGCAGGAGAATCACTTGAACCCGGGAGGTGGAGGTTGCAGTGAGCAGAGACTGTGCCACTGCACTCCAGCCTGGGTGACAGAGGGAGACTCCATTTCAAAATAACAAAGAACCATTTATGGCCAGTAGAGTAGCAAAATGATTATGCCACAGCTAGTTAGTGGAAACTCTGGGAATAGGCCTTAGCTAACCCAGCTCCTAATTGGGGCTCTTTCCTTTTATTCATCTTTTTTCAACAAACATTTATTGCATGCCTACAAAGGCAAGAGAAAACATGGCCAACCATGCAAGGCTCTGAAAACTTTTGGCTCAGAAGTGACACATATCCTTTCTGCTCACATTTTATTAGACAACCAAGCAAGTCATTGTCCATGCCCAATTTCAACAGGCAGGGATAGATTATCTTCCCATGGAAGAGGCAAAGTATTTGTGAACAGTAAGACAGTCCTCCACAAAAGCCCAGGGTCTAGGACAAGGGTTGGTTTCCCTATATTAGCTAAGAAATTAGGAGCTCAGCAGACGAATCAGCCAATAAAAGGAAACAACCACAGTTCCTCATTCCTCAACCAAAACTAGAGACATCCAAGAGACATTGACACTGATGAGGAGCATAGACTAGAAGCACTATTTGGAAGTTCTTTGGGGGAGAAAATAGTTTTTTCCATCCCTGGGAAGTCAAGGACATATATTCATGAGCTCCTTTTAACAAATGACCTAAAATTTTCCATATATACACAAATATTTGACCAGATGGGTCTCAGGTCCTGAAGATGAAACACATCACCAAGATGGCGTCTGTTCTTGGCTCCTTCCAGCATTCCAGACCCTGAAACCAGATGATCTTTTTAAAACAAAAATCAGGTTGTGTTTTCCACTCTTCTTCTACCTTCCCATGTACAACTTTCCATTGCTTAAAACATATCAATGGCTTTCTGTTGTTTTTACTCTGAAGCTTAAAATCCTAACTAATGGCTCCAGGCTCTCTCTGTTCCATGTACACAGACCTGCTTTTAGTTATTTAGGATCTCTATGCTTCTTCCTATCCACAGAGCCATTCCACATGCTATTCCTGCTATCTAGAATGCTTTTCCTTAACCCCTTCATCCAGGTAATTCCTTCTGTCTTTAGATCTTGGCTTATTGCTATTGCCTTAAGAAAGTTTTCCCTGACCTCACCAAGTCAATCTCTCTCGATTACTCATACATCAAGTATTTATTGAATACCTACTAAGTTCCAGGCATTGACCTAGTTGGTAGGAACATAAAGGCAATGAGACAATTGACATGCCAGGGAGGGACAAAAAATAAACAATAAAAATACCTCTGTCAGGTATGACAGGTGCTATGAACAAGAAATGAACAAAGTAAAGGGTGAAAGGGCCAAGCACTATTTTAGATAAAGTGGTCAAAGTTAAGTGGTCTCTGAAGCTCCTCTGAAGAGGGGACCATGTAACTACACCCTAAATACAGAGAAAAACCAAGCTGTGCTACCTGTAAGAAAAATTTTCCTGATAGAGGGAATGACAATTCCCAATGCCCTGAAGACAGGGTGTTGGAAGAATAGCCAATGTATTATGACTTATTTCAGTACTTTGTAGCTTATCATAGCATTATCACTATATGATTTAAAAATTCATTTCTGTTACTTGATTAATGTTCATTGCTCCTCTAGACTATTACTTCAAAAGGCATAAAGGCAGGAGCTGTATCCACTTTTTGCTCATCATTGGACATTGAATCTCCTATGTTGTGCCTGGCACCTAGCACACAGTAGGTCCTTAATAAACATTTGTAGAATGGTGAAGAAATGATGGCTAAATCAATTAATGATAAAGCAGATCCCCAAATGACTACAATCTTAGGTGTTTTCTCTGCCCCACTCATATACATTCAGAACTCTCCTCTAAATGCCAAGAGCTGTTTTCCTGAAAATCTTGACCTGAATACTTTTCTTCTGATGAAGATAGCATGCCTGGTCAATGAATTCCAGAGCGTCAGTGCCCCCAAGAAATAACGTGCTACCAGTGGCAGACAGGGAGTCAGAGGATAAATATGCCCCAGCATCCTTGTCCCTTAAATGGGATAACTCTAAGGCAGTGGTTTCTCAGTCCTTCACAAATGATTCCCCCAGGGGACATTTGACAATGTTCAGAGACCTTTTAGGTTGTCGCAACAGGTGGGAGGAGGGGTGGGGAGGAGATGCGACTTGCATCTAATGGGTACAGTTCCAGATGCTACTAACCATCTGACAGGAGAAAGGACAATCCCCTAAACCAAGAATTATCCAGCCCCAGATATCAACAGTGCCAAGTTTGTGAAACCCTGCTCTAAGGTATCTGTTCTACATGGTCTCCTTAAATTCCCTAGCAGAACCAAGGTCCAGTTGCCCATGGTGGTGACTGGTTTGATAACACATCATTTATTGGTTTCCTCCCTCCTCTTCCCAGTCTCGCTTCCCAGGTGGTGTTTCCTAGGATCACCTACCAAATAAACGACTTTCCCTCAATTCCTCATTTCAGATTCTGCTTCGAGGGAAATCTAAACCACAAAATATCCCTCAAATCTTATATTTCTCAGCGACTAGTCTCTCCAACTCTTGGCCTGGCTGTGTAATAAACTACGGGACTGGCCTAGGAGACCCCAAGGAGTAAGCAGTTAACACTGGCATCTGAAATTGGCTCGTGAGCTACAGCTCTTAAGGAAAGGCTGTACCACCTGAAAAAGTGTCTGGTTTGGGGAAAAGAAGCTTACTTCCCACTGGTACCCTTGGAGAGTCATTCAATTTGGAATAGAGACAGGAGAAAGAATGGCAAGGTTGGAAATGGACAACCTGTTCAAATCCCACCTCTGTTGCTAACTGGATCCTTTTTCCTGGTCAAGTCTCTAACTTGTTGTATACTCCATTTTCCCATATTTCAAATGAGTTTGTTGGGTTGGAAGATCTCTGAGGACTCTTGGAGGCCTACCATTCTAGAATTATAAGAAGAAAACACTCACCTTCCATGTCCCCTCCACCATAACCCAAGCATTGTCTTCTTTGTTCAGAGGCCTCTTCTCCTGGGGCCACCTGGGACTCCTCCACCCCCGAGCTGACACACCTCCCACCATAGCACTTCATGGCAGGTCTCTCTTCTCTGTCTGCCTCTGTTAACACTTACATGATCCACATGCTTGCAGCTCAGTTCAACTCTTAAAAATCTTCTCGTCTCTGGGCTTTCATTTCCTAGAGACAAAGGTATGAAGAAGTTGGCTCTCTTTCTCAAGATTGCAAAGTTGCAAAACCCAGCTCCAAGTCCATGACCTTCCCACCCACCACACTTGAACAGGTGGACAAATACACTTCAGCATGCACTGGCTGTATACTGGGTATGGATTTCAAGTGCAAAGGAAAAAGAAAAAATTTAACTCTTTCTCCTATTTAACAAAAATAATTAAGAAATGGAATGTTCTGATTGAAAATTACCAAGCATATGATGTATGGATGATCAATTTTTGAAGAAGTGGAAACAATTAGAAATTAGAAAACAGAAGCCCACATCCTTTGAAACCCATCCTGCAGGTAAGTGAATACTTTTTTCATGGTGCCTAAGGCATTTTGGAATGGCAAAGATAACAAGAATACCTGGCATTGGTTTATCTCCCTGTCATTTGCTGTTCCGGTTTATTTTCAAAGGTTTGTGTAGCAATCAAAAGAACTAGGCAATAATTTAAGTGAGGCTGAAAGCATCAGCCAAGGGTGTGGAATTTGGGAAAATAGATTATTGTTGTGCCTCTTCCTGATAAGAAAATAAGGATGATTGTTTGCCTTTTATTTGTTTTTGACAAAACAGAGTTATTTAATAAGTGAACATACATCAAAGGTAAATATGGTTTTATAAAGAAGTTCTGAATATTTTATTATTAAAGTAACAAACTCATTTAACTCATTTAAAAATTCTAAAGTTATAAACAGTAAGTAAAACAAATAGCATGAAAATAAAATTATAATTGCCTTTAATTTCACACTTAGAGACCACCATTATTTGTTTCATGTATTGCTATCTAATATTTTCAGACTTTTTTTTTTTTTTTTGAGACAGAGTCTCGCTCTGTCGCCAGGGTGGAGTGCAGTGGCGTCATCTCGGCTCACTGCAACCTCCACCTCCCAGGTTCAAGTGATTCTCCTGTCTCAGCCTCCTGAGTAGTTGGGACTACAGGCACACACCATCACACCCGGCTAATTTCTGTACTTTCAGTAGAGATGGGGTTTCACCATGTTGGCCAGGATGGTCTCCATCTCTTGACCTTGTGCTCTGCCCACCTCGGCCTCCCAAAGTGCTGGGATTACAGGCATGAGCCACCATGCCCGATCCAGACATTTTTAACAAAAATAAAATTCATATTGCCTAATATGTGTACAATTCTTATATCTTTCCATTTCACTTTTCACTGTGTCATGAACATTTAAGCATGGGTTCTGATTTTTTAACAATTGTGTAATATTCCATTTATCTATCAGTCAGTGAAAAACAGATTTAACCAAGCCCTCGTTGCTGGGTACTTAGGTTGAATCCAATTTCTGTCTCCCACCGAAATCTCTGAATCTCCGCTAGACTCCAAAAAACAAAATCACTGGGTCGAAGGATATAAACATTATTTAAGGTTTAGAGAAGGTTTTAAAGCAATAAAGGCAAGGAAATATTTAGTACTTGTTTCATTTATTCCTAACTTGCCTCACAAAGATTAATGACCCTGGCCTTATCCACAGATTTGACTATAATTTTTCATTTTCACCTTGAGACCTGATTTTGGAATTATCTCTTTAGACACTGGCTCTTTAGGCAGAGTCTAGCGTCAAAGTTTTTAGAGGATGATGTTTTCTGGGGTACTGGAAATATTCTACTTCTTTATCTGGATGGGGGTTACATAGATATATTCAGTTTGTGAAGATTCATTGAACTGTACACTTATGATTTATGCACTTTTCTGTATGTTTGCTTCACTTAATAAAAATTATGCTTACAAAAATAGTGCTTCATTAAATCATGAAATGTAAATTTCCTCAAGTAAGCCCTAAACAGCCATGAAGTCCTTGTGGTTTTAGAGATCAAATAATATGAGTATTTGAAACCACCAGATGTTTTACAAATAATTGTTATCATCATCATCTGAATGAAGTCATTCTTGCTAAATATATGATAAGGTAACACTCTCAGAAGGCATTTTTATTTTACAATCCAATTAATTCTGAAATTGGTGAGTTGACAGGTATGGAGAGGGAGTCTTTGGATAGGCAGTTTTTTCCCATGCATACTTCCTCTGATTCCCTCACCCAGGGAGTACGGTACATGTAGCATGGGTAGTCAGGCCACTCAGACTCTAATTTTAGAATCTAGGATTCCCAATTAAAGATTACCCAGGACACACAATTCAGCAAGTTCATCAATATCCAGGCTCAGGTTCTCATCTAAGAAATGTGGCTTGGTTCTCTCTGGACAAGGCCAACACGTACAGCTGGCAGGGCTGTTCGCTGCACGAGGACACCTGGCTAAGGTATTTTAGGGGGATGATGTCCAGGGCTCGCCAAGTCATACATCCTGGCTGGGGATTAATCCACTCAGAAGAAGGGGGGCCTTTTAAAAATATAGACAAAGATGCCAAATGGAGCTCCCATGCTCCATCTCTCCCACTTTTAGGCCAAGCCCCATGGATTAACTAGGCTGATCCACCATGACAGTGGGCATTATTTAGGCAAGAAGTCATCATCAGGCAGGGTATGCTCCCACAACTGCACAACATGGGTTTGCCTTTAGTTCTAAAACAGACCCTGTCAGCCCTCTGCTCTGGATGAAATCCCCAGAAACTCCTGGGCTCCTGACACCTGTGATGGCTCATTCATTTGTGAAAGTGGCTGAGCTATGGTGCCCAATTATTTGGTCAACCACTAATCTAAATGTTGCTGTGAAGGTATTTGGTAGACATAATTAACATTTACAATCAATAGACTTTAAGTGAAGTAGATTACCCTTCATTATGATTGGACCTTATCTAATAAGTTGAAGGATTTAAGAGCAAAGACTCAAGTTTCTCAAAGAAGAAATTCTGACTCAAAACTTCAACATGGAAACCCTGCCTGAGATTCCAGCCTGCTGGCCTGCCCTACAGGTTTCAAACTTGCTGGCCATCATGATATCATGAGCCAATTCCTTAATAAATCTCTTCTGTCTCTTTCTCTCTCTCCGTTTTTTTTTTTTTTTTTTTTTTTTTTTTTTTTTTCCTAGACGGAGGAGTCTCGCTCTTGTTGCCTAGGCTGGAGTGCAGTGGCACGATCTCGGTTCACTGCAACGTCTACCTCCCAGGTTCAAGTGATTCTCCTGCCTCCTGAGTAGCTGGGATTACAGACACCCACCACCATGCCCAGCTAATTTTTGTACTTTTAGTAGAGACAGGTTTTCACCATGTTGGCCAGGCTGGTCTCGAATTCCTGACCTCAGGTGATCCATCTGCCTCAGCCTCCCAAAGTGATGGGATTACAGGTGTGAGCCACCATGGCCAGCCTCTCTCCTCTCTGTCTCTCTCTCTCTGTGTGTGTGTGTGTGTGTGTGTGTGTGTGTGTAGGTGTACATGGAGAGACACATATATATCCCACTATGTATACATATTATACCCTATCGATGTATATATACATAGATATCTTCTGGACTCTGTTCTCATCTGAGAACTGCAGCCCCTGCAGTGGAACAGAAGCTGATGAGAAGCTTCTGGATTCTCATGAGGCCTTGCACTGGAAGAAGCATCCAGGAACACAGTGGTTCAAGCCAATCCTCAAAAGCAAAAACCTACAAATGCAGAAATCCCATTTAGCCCTCATTTTAGAAGTCTTTGTAAAGCTTCTACTTACAAATACATGCTCATAGCAGACAATTTTAAGAAAATAATTAAACAGGATAAGATTTCAGGTATCAGGATCTTAAAGTGACTTCAAGTTTTCGTCATTTAGAATGGGCTTTTCCATGCATGATTTCACTTGGTCTGGCCGTACCTCTCATGGAATCCAATTCCACTAAATTCTGGACACATGAAATAAATGGCATAAAACATGGGAAGAGCCAGGTTGTGTTCTGCCACTGAAGCCCATATGACTGCAGAGGGGTTTTTCTAGGTCCCTTGGGCATTGTGTTTTTTAAATAAACTACGTCATTCAACTGATATTAAAAGCAAAGTGAATGTCTAAAAGTAGTTCAAACAAGGACATCTCCCCTGGATTTTCATGAGCAGGCCCCAAGTCTGAAATGACATATAATGTCTACTAAAAAAAAAAAAAAAAAATCTACTTAGAAATTGCAATCAATCATTTTCTTTCCTCCCCTCCTTATTTTCCTTTATCTCTTTGGTAGATTAATCTGAAGAACTTGGCCCAATCACCTCTTTTCCTGTGTGCACACACCCTTTAGACACCTACAAGCAGATCACTATCACCCTGGGAATGATCATGGACTGAACACCATTTTCCCCTTCACCAGCTTTGCACTTTCTCATTTGGAAGCCTCTGGCTGTCAGTCAGTCTACATCTTGCTCATGTTTTTTTGTTTGTTTGTTTTGTTTTGTTTTGTTTTTTGGCACTATTTCCTTTCAGGTCTGCCTTTCTTCTGTCAGAACTCCTCTGACTAGGACATAGTTGCCTTCTAGCTTTTTCCACCTTCAGCAGGTAGTGTTCACTGGAAGGAAAAATTCTTAAGAAGTCTTGGTAGAGTAGCCCCAGTCATCTGCTATGTGTGCCAATGATGATGAAAATAAGGGGGAGAGGGGTAAGAGAAAGAAGAGGTGGAGAAAGTTGAGATGAAGCAAAGATACTTGCAAATTTCTTGCAGATAGGATCTGAGTCTTGCTCATCTTCAAATTCTTACCACTTAACATCTATGTGCCTAGCACATAGCAAGTGCTTACTCAATGGCTGGAGAATCAAATAATAGAAAAAAAGAATGAATAGACATGGAAAAGAACAAAGTCTGTAGGGAGGAAGACAGGGAGGGAAAGAAAAGAAGGAAGGAAGGAAGGAAGGAAGGAAGGAAGGAAGGAAGGAAAGGAGGGAGGGAGGGAGGGAGGCAGGGAGGGAGGTGGGCAGGGAGGGAGGGAGAGAGGGAAAGAAAGAAAGAAGGAAGAAAATAGGTGACGATTCCTGGCAGTATAAGAAAACTAAATAAGGCTGGCACGGTGGCCATGCCGGTAATCCCAACACTTTGG